ATTGCTTTAACACAGGTCTCCAGCTGTGCATTGCAAACCTACATCCTGAACCTTTGAATACAGAGGCACAGACCTTAGGCATATATTTATTTGTAATGTGTTCATTGTCCAAGCCAGATGGGAGTTTGAATGTATTAAAATGCTAGATTTCTGACATGACTTTCAGAAGTGGGGAGAAATGCAGTAGCGCTAATAAATTCTCATCCTCTTTGTTTTCCACAGCAAGAACTTATTGACAGTATTAGTAGGAAGCTGCAGGTGCTGAGAGAAGCACGAGAAACACTTCTGGAAGACATCCAAGCAAACAATATATTGGGGGAGGAGGTAGAGGCCATTGTGAAAGAAGTCTGCAAACCAAATGAGTTTGACAAATTCAAGATGTTTATCGGCGACCTTGACAAAGTGGTCAACCTCCTACTGTCACTATCAGGTCGTCTGGCCCGGGTGGAAAATGCCCTTAATAACCTGGATGAAAATACCTCTCCAGAAGAACGGGTGAGAAAACCCAAAAATAATATTCCTGCATTTAATGAACTTGATGTGTTTTTTTTTGCTTGGTTTTGTTTATCTAAATTGCAGACCTTGAGATAAGGGATAGTGAATGGATAAATTCCATTAGGCCATTTTCTTTACATTTCTAAAAACTTTCCTCTTTGCCTTGGTTTTACTTGGAGTGCTAAAATTGCACATAGCTTGGTGAGAAAAAGTGGTACTTTGGGGTGCAGCTTACTGAAAACCAGATTGCTTAGCAAATGCTAAAGACAGGGGAACTACTGATCAGAGTATTAAAAAAAGGAAACAAAATTCTGACAATTCAAGATGGGAAAAAGGAGTGTCACTGTGCTGTAATGCAGAAAGTTTACAGAGTTCTTTATACTCAGCAAGGATCTTGATAAAAATCTGTAAGGTTGCTACAAATAAATTGTTTCTCATCTACTACAGCTTCTTCCACAGAGCCTAGCAAGGAACAAGAGCAAAAAATGACAGAAGGACAAGACTTATATAAAAAAATTTAAAAAGTGGGGAGAAGGGAGATAGATGCATTTTTAAAATAGTTTTTCAATAGAAAGCTTGTTTTACCCAAGCAGAACAGCAGAGTAGTGATATGGAGGAATCCCAGCAGATGTGAAAATTTCAGGAGTGTTTGAGGTACTCTTACCTGTTGAATGCCACCTCTTCTAGCAGCACTTTGTTTAGCTCCAGATCCCATCACCTCTTAGCTGAGAAACAGGTATCTAGCAGTAGAGATATGCACCAAAGGAGAGATGTAAACATGTGCAAAACCTAAAGGCTAACAAAAAATAAATAGAGAGGTTGGGCAGGCAGATATGTGTCAAGTGAGCTTAGCTTCTACAGTGAAATGAATGGGAAGTGGGATTTTTGGCTTATAGCTGTGGACTGAAATGGCTGCACTCTACCTAAGTGTTGTAACAAAAGTTTTTTCCACAGGCAGTGAATTCACACTGTTTTTCTTCAGCTGGCTGAACCTGAGCCAGCAGTGTGCCCAGGTGGCCAAGAAGGCCAACAGCATCCTGGCCTGCATCAGGAATAGTGTGGCCAGCAGGAGCAGGGAAGTCATCGTGCCCTTGCAGTCGGCACTGGTGAGGCTGCACCTCAAGTTCTCTTCAGTTTTGGGCCCCTCACTACAAGAAGGACATTGAGGTGCTGGAGCAAGTCTAGAGAAGGACAACGAATCTGGAGAACAAGTATTAGGAGGAGCATTTCAGGGAACTGGGGTTGTTTAGCCTGGAGAGATGGGGACTGAGGGGAGACCTTATAGCTCTCTGAAAAGAGGTTGTAGCGACATGGGTCCAGTCTCTTCTCCCAGGTAAAAAGCAACAGGACAAAAGGAAATGGGCTCAGGTTGCACCAGGAGAAGTTTAGATTGGATATTAGAAGAAAATCCTTCACTGAAAGGGTTATCAAACACTGGATCAGGCTGCCTAGGGATGTGGTGCTTAGGGACATGGTTTAGCACTAAACGTGGTAAAGTTAGGCTCGTTTTTCCAAACAATGATTCTGTGGTTCTGTTTCACCAGTAAGAACTAGCAAGTGCTGGGACTAGTTTGAAGCTGTGCTTTTGTTGTTTGGCCTTAGCTGCTGTCAGACATACTTGTTTAAGGGCTGTCCAGAGCCCTGCCTAACTGAGGCAAAGAGAAGATATTTGACAGCTTATTAGAGCACCGATCAAAGCTTCTGAAACTCAAAGGAATTTAATCCTTCTTTAGACTTCATTTTTCTAAATGCAGTTGCAGTTGCCTAATGGGCTCAAAGGTGGGAGTGTGAGCTGAGGAATGAGCTACCAAAATATATGAGCATATAGTAAGCACAGTTTGAGAGCTGTGATTAAAATAGTTTATTGGCTAGGTGTGGAAAAGGAAGAATGTGACCAGGTGATGCAGTAAGGGCAGTCAGAAATTGTGTGCTCTGCTGTCAGATTTTGACTGACAGAAATCCCAATCCCTAACCTAATCTAATCCCCATTCATCTTCTCATGCACTGACACCAAAGGCTTGCCATAGTAACTTCAGAAATACATCTTAAAGTGTTGGTCAGAGATACTTCACAGATGCATCAAGTCCCCCCCAGGTACTCGTGACTATAAATACAACAGATGTAGGTTATGTGTGCATATCACTTAATTCAGCCTGACACATGTGGCTTTTTGTTTGTCCTGTGGTATTTTGTGGGTCACATGGTATTTGGTGTATCAAATTAACATTACTCTGATAATTTTGTACTTTCTAGGAACCACCAACAGCTCAGCAGACTTTCTAAATAAACAGTCTGTCAGCATGCAAATAATCACTGCTGGATTAGTACTTTGACTATTAGATGCTCTGTCATAGGTGTCTTCTGCCACAAAGAGCTTTATCAGGTATTTCAACTTCAGCTTCTGAAAGGGGCTTAATCTGAAACAGTTACAAGCCCCCTTCCTTCCACACAATGAGACCAGTGTCTTCTCATTACTTTCCTTATCAATAAAAGCCAGAATGTGTTAAGAACCTGAACCAGCCGTCCACAGATGTGATGAGGTGCCTAGACCTACAAGACCTGTTATCACAAGAGCAGGGACAAGTGCCAGGGATAGCAGTTTAGAAACCGGATGCTGGAAAGGCAAATACACAGAGGGAGTCCCTCTTCATGTGGCTGTGGTTCAAAACAGCTAACAGTTATTGAGAAAGACTCTAAATAGAAAGTTCCAACAGAGGAACTTCAGATGAACTGTGTTTGGCTGGGGCTTCAGATCACTGCCAGCTGCAAAAAAAAACCTTCTGCACTCTGCTTGGCTTTGGTTGTTTGAAGTTAGTCAGATGAAAACTTCAGACATCATTTATGCCATTAGGCCTGGTGAGCCATTTACCCAGTGCTCAAAGAACCCCCTCCAGAATGGTGTCTTGAGCCTGCCACAGTGTGTTTCACTTTACACTTCAAAACATGCTTTCAAGTGTCAGTCATCTTTGTCAGAGGTAAAAGCAAATTCAAGAGGTTTCTCATTTGCCTTCTACTTTTCTGCACCACACTTCTCTTTGGTATTCCCTGAACCTTCACAGGGCAGAGGTACTAAAGTGTCATACAAAGTTCATAATTAAAATAGTGTGTACCTTCCCTAAAAAAAAATTGTCAGGTTACTCCTATTCCACTTAAAGACATGCTTGGTGAAAAGAAACCATACAACTTAAATCTCAGAAACTATTATGAAGGACTAAACATTTGATTGTTCTTGTGTCTGTTGACAATGATAGCAAATGGCTTGAAGAACAGAGCTATTTCATCCCAAGGTTAGGTGGGTAACTCTACAACTGAGTTACCAGCTGTTTGATCTATGCCCTCTTATGTTCCCCAAAGTCTACCTAATTCTTCCTCTCAGGAAGCTGCAAGGCTTCCAAGTTTGGGCTTGGCTTCTAGTTCCTCTGCTGAATTTAGGAGAATACTTATATTTCTTCACAGCAGATAGTTCTGCTGCAACTCACAGTGGGATTTTTTTCCCTGGCAGATGCCCAAAGGAAGACTGAACTGTGGGTTTTCTAATCATTGTGATTTCTGTGACTTGTCTTCCATAGCTGTCTTGACTCCTGAGGTAATCTAGGTTGTATATTTTAAGTACATTGAGAGTGCAAGTCTTAAGGCATTTCACCCTCTGAACTTTGTTCAGTCTATAGAAGAAGAGGCAGCACAGGATACACACGCAACTCTGACAGAGAGGTCTGTTGAAGATTGCTCTCTCTATCCTCTTTTGTCTCATACACCATCTTGAAAGTATTCTATTTTATGTCTAGGAAAACACTTTTCTGCAACTCCTTTTGGCTTATTATTGCATGTGTGATTTAACATAATGTCCAAATGAAAAAAGAAAAAGACACATTTATTTGAGAAGACTGTGGTTTATTTGAAGTCATACGTTCTCAAAGAAGATTCATCTCTGAAGCAAAGCTAACAGTTATAGAATGGTACCTCTTAGGGGCACTTTTTAATTAAGTACAGAAATCTTTAGGGGAATTCTTGATGTCAGAGTAGGCCAGCCATACTCTGTCAGTGGAAAAAGGCAGTAATTTCTAGGCAAACAGCTGAAATAGGTCAGATTAATGCCACTCCTGTCTCTTTCCATACACTGCTAAAGGAGTGTGCCAGAATGATTCAGATGTGGCTGTTGACTGTGTAGACAGGTGAAGTTGAGTGAGTTGTGCCTCACCCTTCATGCTCATACATATGTGGGAATGGGATATAGCTCCTGTCCTCTTCGTGTGTTTCTCCATTCAAAGAATGGAGAAAAAAATCCTATTTTGTCTCTAGAGAGTGCAGGAAGCAGAAAGTTTACAGCCCTTTTGGGAAGATGTCTTTCTTTTTTTTTTACTTCTCTCCTATTTTCTTGCCCCAGTGCTCGCACTTCCTTGTATTTTAAGACCACATGACTTCATGTCTCCTGGAGAGGCCATGCGGATTGCAGCAGAACTGTGAAATACCACAGTGTCAAGAGCTGTGTGAGAGCCAATTGCTCCATTAATTAGTCTGTTGGTTGGTTCTCTAAGAGCTGTTTCATTGTGAGAGTTGGGTGCTGTGTATTGAAGATGTAAGTCATTGCTGAGTGAAGTCTTAATTTGGAGAACTTGGATGTTTCTCAAAGGCAACTATATTTTATATAATTATTCTGGACTATCAAATAGTAGTCTTTGAAGTTGTTGCTGTTGAGACCAATAGAAATTAATGGTGAATATTCCATTGATTCACTGTTGGTTTTTTTCCTGTTAATGCATTTTATTAGATGACGCATTAAGAAGAGATCTTATCCCACCTCTCTAAGTATTCAGAAAAGTCTTGCAGATAAAACAGACTTGAGACTTAAACACTGAAGCTGTTGTCCCAGCCTGGTGAATCCAATGAATTTTAAACTGTTTTTCTTTTCTCCTAAGCGGACATTGGTAGAGAAGCAGAAGCTTCTGACCCAGCAACATGAAGATGCAAAAGAACTGAAGGAAAACCTGGATCGTCGAGAGCGCATTGTCTTTGACATTTTGGCAAACTACCTGAGTGAGGAGAACTTAGCAGACTATGAGCACTTTGTAAAAATGAAGTCAGCCCTCATCATTGAGCAACGAGAGCTTGAGGACAAGATCAAGCTAGGGGAAGAGCAACTGAAGTGTCTGACTGATAGCCTCCAACCTGAACGACTCAAATAAGAGGATGACTTTGACCGAGGATGTGAAAAATGGGAAAGGAGGAAAGGATGGAGGAGTTGCCAAGCGTACAAACAAGTATCTTGGCTTGTCTGAGTGCCCAGTAGACAAACAAGTGCACAAGAAAAAAATAGCTCTCAAAACAGCAATAATGCTCTCTTTCATTTTTTTGGGATTATGTATTTAAATTTTTTAGAACACATTTCTATTGCTGGACATTACAGCTGTTTCTCATTGCTTAACTTACAGACAGCTCCACAGAAAAGGATAGACTCTTACTTAACCTTTCTACTGAGTAAGCTGAAAGTCTGTGGCAGTTGTGCATGCAAACAACATTTTTTAGAATAGGTTGTATACTTTCTTTAGGTTCAGATGCTGTACAGACTGCTGGGAAACCCAACAGCAATTCATGAACACACACAAATTTAGAAGCTCTAAATTTAGTGGCTTTTTAGGGTTTTTTTGAAGACACATTAAATAGGGGAAGCGTGCATCTTATAGCTAATATATTCAGATTGCTGAAATGTAGTGTCACTGATCCTGTGGCATCAGACACTTTTTTGTAATATTGTATATAGGATGGCACTTTCCCCTTGCAGAAAATAACTTTACAATCAGTCTCAGTTACACACTTCTTAAACCAGCTTGCAAATCACCTAATTGCTACTTTGCTGAAGATTCTTTTTTAATTATTTTGCAAGACATAGTTGAACACTTTATTGCAATGCAAGCGATTTCCTTTACCAATTTGTACTTGATTTAAGAAACAGGCTGGAAATACTGTGCTGATTCTGTTCAAAATGTTTCTCATCTAAATTATTTAGAAAGCTCATTTGCTCTTTCTTGTGCTTTTTAGGCCTATTTTTATTCTTTCTCCCCCAAAACCACTACACTTATGAAAATAAATGTAGGCTAAGGACACTGCTTCTATACGTGTACTGAGTGTTCAACATTGTGATGGTTTTATATAGTTAAGTTATACTGCAGTTGACCTACATAATGCTGTTCATTCTTTCCTCTTTCTCATACTACCAAATGCAATATAAACAACTTCTGCCATGTAAATACTGTGCATTACTAGGAGCAGCTCTGCTTTGTAACTGTGAAAATAAGTGGGGTTTGTTTGTTTTTTCCATTGCACAATGATAAATGAGAGGATTCTCGTTCACAGTATCAGATTGCTGGTTGTGTTCTACTAACACTGCCATTGACTTAAAACAGATGATTTCCAGTAGCTCTAAAAAGAGCTTCTTAGTCATGTTTTAGTGCAGTAAAAGGTTACTGACTTGCTCAGATACCTACACAAAAATTCTGTAGTATCTAAATGTCAAGTTCTATGTTAAGATAAAGTTTTGCAGGCAAAAGGAAGTCTTGGATGACGTTGTGTATATGCCATTTACATTGTAGTACGGGAAACATTTATCTCTCCGTAGACAAAGAGGTTGCCCAACAAGAAGCCATTAGTGAGGTGGGTGTGAATGCCAGTCTATAGGTAAGCAGGTTGAAAATACAAGTAGTTGGGTGTTGAAAAGAGAGAAAACCATTCTTCCCACTATTCCTGCATTGGCTGCATTCACAAAAGATTTTCTGTCCTTCTTACCTGGATCCTCTCTCTTTTGTGACGTGAGAACTGGAGAGGTGCTGATTGGCAAATTCCTTTTGAGTTGAGGAGCTGGGAAGAAAAAGTCCCTGGAACCAGTTCCTTTGCAGACAGATGCAAAAAAAAAGGACTGTTGCCCCCTCCTTAGAGTGCACTACTTTGTATACCTGGACCAAATCTTTAATGAAATTACATTGCTGTGTATCAGTTGAGGTCAAATGGAACTGCCATTTTGCAAGACCTACAGCTGACCATAGTTTCTTCCTCCTAGTTTAGAAATGTAGTCTCTGGCATCTCACAGTGATTTGCTGCTATGTTCCTAGGACAAGTGATCCCTTTGTCCTTAAACTTATCCCTTAACCATAACAAACCCAAAACTAAGCAATTCCCAAATAAATTATGCTTGTCTTTTAGCTTGGAGAAAGTGTGCATTGTTTTATCTGTGGCATCTTTAAAATTTTACGTATTGTGGTTACTCTGAAATGTGTATGTGAAATGTGAATAATAATATAATTACCACGTGTTTGTATACAGTACTTTGATTTAGATCTTTCTGCTAAAAGGTAGCAATATTGTGAATGCTATATATATTACCCTTTTCACACAACAGTTGTGTAGACACCCTTCTTCCCTTCCCTTTTTTTTAAACTGTGTGGAAAATATCTCTCCCTTAGAACCTGAAGATGATGGCCTCCCAATGTTGTATGTAAATCTGTAAATAGCTACACTGTTGCTTTTTGAAAAAATCTGGTGCTAATGTTTTGCCTTCAGCATCCTGGGGATGGCTGTTTCTTCACCTTATGTTGTTCTCAATTCTGGATCTCATTTGTATAGTGAAAAATTTCCACTATGTTTCTCCAACTGTTTGGATTCTGCAGCCCAGAGTGAAAATGTACAGTGTTCCTGCCTGACACTTACCACTTACCTACTGACAAATGGTATTGATTGACTTTGAGAAAATAAACTGTATATTTCAACGTAGCGTTAGTTTTTGTGTGCAGTTTGAACTGTCAAAACCTGCTGTGTTGCTGTGCATTGTTAGCCATCTCATGGTGCTCATCCAACAGTGCCTGTAGCTAACTGCAGAATCTTCTGCCTTATTGGGGGGAAAATGTCAAGTGTGCACAAATTTGTTGTAGAGGTGACCACAGATACGTTTTATGGTTTAGTTGTCTGTGAAGCTCTTTATTGTAGGAACTATCTGGGAAAAGGAAGTTGGGGAAGGAAAAATACTTGGGTATTTTTAGGATTTTCCTAAACTTCTAACAATACTTTTTACCCTCTTCTCTCCATCTGCACATACATGGACTCACCTCTTTTTGACTCCTTTCCTGGGTGTTTGGTATAATCAAGCGTGGCAGCTGAAGGGGAATAACAGTCTTGATTTTGTGTACTGTTTGAATTGGAAGAAAATGGCTTGTCTTTAAACTGACATTAAGCTCTTTATTTTCTTTTTGGGGTTATCTGAGACCCTCAGGTTTCAAAGGAGTTATCATTTCATGGTGCTCTTTCCTAATTAAGCTCTATTGATTAATTCTAATGCACTTAATTGTCTCTGTTTTTACAGGTGATCCATTAGCTAGCAAAGCATTATGCTCGTGCCCAGTAGAACAGTAACTCTTGTTTTAAGGCTGTCCAGTCATTTATTGCTGAAGTTCATAGGTTTGTCCTAATTAGGGGCTTCTCAGTTGTGGGGTTTTTTTATAGTATAAATTGCTTTATCTAAATACGTGAGTGGAACTTGCCCACAGAGTAGATGTTATAAAAATTAGTAATGACATTCTTTAAAGTACTGGACTGTATAGAGTCAGTTTTGAACAGTGGTAAATTGGACATCACACTCAGCACAGTTCTAGTCTGTAACTTAACTAATTATAATGATCCACTTACTGCATGATGGTTTAACCCCTCTGAAATCCTGGGTTGTGTTCTCCCTACCTACTGTTTTGTTAATGTTTCTGTCGAATAGAATTGTTGCCTTTGAAGTAGTTTAACTTAATTTTAATTTAATACACTTCAGGAGAAAATCTGAATGCAAGTAAATTCAATCTTGTTCAAGTAGCAGAAGGTAGTTTCTCTCCTGGACTTCAACAGCCCACCTACAAGCAGACCAGGTGTAATCTTTTCATGACACGCCATGCTTAGGACCTTTTTTCTCAGTTGTAATTGTGTGGGCAGATACTTCATATGACTGTTGTTTATCTTGTGCTAAGAATTTTATTTCAGTCAAAGCAGTTGAGCCTTTCCTGAGAACAAAGCTAGTAAAATGCTTGGTTGTTGCTTTGTTGGTTTTTTTCTTCCTATGTTAAAAATTCTCACAATGGCTTTATTTTCAGGTACTTTAATATCTCAGTCTTGGAGGCAGTCTCCTAAATTTGGCAGGGGGAGATGGCCTTGTGACTAGGCCGTGTCTTCTGCTAGTGCCAAACAGGTCAGTATTAGTGGAGTCTATTGCTACAAATCTAATTCTCATTTCCTTTAATTCTTCTGGATGTAACAAACTACTACTGGTAAGGTTCACAAGAAACTTGTCCACTAACTGTCAATGCCTGTTGCCCGCTGTTTCTTTAAAAAACCTTGCCCAAGTGCTGGCTGCTGCCATGGGTGGGATACCAACATTATCTAGGTTACTAATGCCGTGATTTCTGGCTTCTCCTCTGGGATGAAGCAGGACGAGGAATTCTGTGCATCTCCTGCTCACTAGGTGTGAGTGGTTAGCCTAAAATACAAGAGTACCACTAGAGAAGAACCAGATTCCCACTACGTATCCACTTTTATTGAAATATTTTTATTTGCTCTTTGTGGTTACCTGTCTTGAATGGGAGAAAATTTGATTAAAGCAAATAGATTTGTGACAGGGAGCTAAAGATTTACATGATGTTCAAAGACAGAGAAGAATAATCATCCTTATTTTCAGTACCATAAATATCTGGCAAAATGGTATCTAAACAAAGCCTGTGTGCCACAGATCACAGGTGAGAATGCTCAAGAATCTGTGTTCATATATTTTCATGGAGTTGGTGAAAGTTACTCTTAAGCACATACTAAGCTGCAACTGTGTTAACTAGTCTTTATTCATTCCAAGGGACTTCATCAGAGGAGCCAGTATTAGCTCTGAAAAAGCTGTGGTCTGACTTCCATTATTCAGAGTGGTTAATTTGCTGCTGTTCCTTGCGAGAGCATCGTTTGCTGGCCTCTTGATGGACAACATACTCTGTAAGCTGGGGAATGGGTGTATAGTTACAAGAGTTTCACCAAAATGTTATATAGGGAGAGCTATCAAGTCCAAAAGCATGAGAGTCATTAACAAAATCCTTCTGATAAAGGTCACTTCATTTAGTCTCAGCATCTCTTTCACTTCCCAGCTGTCTTCTCTTCGTAAAGTGTTTGTTACTAATAAATCAGGCTTGTGTCTTTTGTAACAGCCTCAGAGAAACAGAAATACAATGAGTAATTGCAGGTTAAATAATTAGCAATGGAAGATAAGATTGTTTATCTCAGTATCTAAATAGAAAAGCATGAGTACCATTCACTCCCAAGAGTTACAGCTTCAGCAACTTTCACAGGCAGGTATGGTTCCTCCACAGATAAAAAGGGAAATCAAGCTGTGATAATCAGTGGCCAACATTGACCTGAAAGGGGTGGAGCAGGTCAAGTTCTTTTTATTAAGAATGGGGTGATACAGATCTTAAGCGAATACTAAAAAAACCTGGAAGTCAATACTAAAAAAAGCCCTGAAGGAAATAAAACTAAACAAATAGTAAAACGCATCAGGGCTGTGAATGTACTGCTTGGCTGTTTTAGCATGCATGATACAGCAAACCATATTGTCTCCATATGCTAGGCCAGGCATTTTTTATTATTGTAGTGTAAAAACAAACAAAAAAATAGAAAGCTTCTTTGACATTTAAACTTCTGTGGAACAACTCGATTTCCGATTCTCAAGT